AGAGTTAAAGGGGAAAAGCTCACAACTTGAACCAAAACCCAAGAACCAAAACCCAAGTTAGTTCTCTTCTAGTTCTTCAACTAAAGAGATTGACCCCACCAAACAACTGGTGGGGCTCGATCCTTCATGCACTCTGCCTAGTATTGGTCCGAGCTCTCAGACCTCTCAGATTTTTGTGGGAGTTTTGCTGGCAATGCTCCACTGCAGGGTACAAATGTGAATGGAGGCGCTTGGTAACGTAGTAGTGGTCAACACATTTCTAACTCCGTAAACAACTGCTCTTCCTTTTTGTAGCATACTACAGTTGTGACCAGAAACCCCCACCCCTTTTACCCCTGCTGTCTCTAAGTGAGCGGTATCTGTTAACTCGAGACTCAAGTCTGCCAAGCATTGAAGAAAAGGGTAAATGGAAAACAAACTAACTTCTGTCCCTGGGAAGTGATGCTGTCACACCAGGCTTCAGGCACTTCAGGGCTGCATGGGAAGTCTGTGGTGGTTCATACTGTAGCTTTTTGTTCTTAGACTGGATTCCTTTTGATTGCAGTCATCCAGTACTCTTACACAAGCACAAAATGTGGTCTGGCTTAAGTTTGTTTTAATTTGTGTCTCTGAAAAAGGTGTAGTCACTGTTTCTCACCACTAAGTGGAGTGAGAACGTTAGTGTTGAAGGTACTAACAGAGCGCAGCAGGTTGCTGGCTAAAAGCTGACAGATGCCTTAATGACTTCCTGTGCTGGAGATCAACAGCTTGTACAACTTCTCTCGTAGTGCTTATAAATTAACATGTAACAATATGGGAGGCCAGGGCTGGATTTTTTTTTTTGTAGATCAAATGTGTTAATAGGCGAGTCCTCTTTTTTCCTGTAACCAGCAGAGTTGGGTACTGCAGCAAACTCATCTCTAGAAAAATCAAAGCTTGTATGAGTGACAAAAATAACTCTGAACCTTCTAATACCCTCTGTGAAATAGAAAAGGAAGTCTTAGAACAATGGCATTTTATCTGCAATGTTTGTCTGGAGTCATTGTAAAAATGTATTTTTCCAATATGCATTACTTTGTTGTGTAATGATTCTACTTGTAATAAAATGCATAACTAGATAATGCATCGTGAGGTGGAAACCTTGTTAAGAAAGTATCTTCTCCTGTAGAGACAGCTGCCCTTCTGCAAGCTATCCTTTACAAGCCACAAGGAAAACTAGGGATATAACAACACTCAACTGGGCATGACAACTTTATTCTTTGTTCTGAAATTATTCCAGGTATTATTTTAATGTTGTGGAACTGCTACAGCTGTTCTTTTGGCTGACAAGGTCTGGTGTTCTACTTTATACCATATAGTCATCTTGAATGCCTTAAACTAGACTTACCTATAATCACTCTTAGGAAACAACCCTAACTTCCCGCAGGCCAGAGCTGGTTCACGGAGTGAATCCATCAGCTCAGATTGAGTCAACTCAGCTCGTCCATTTAAATCTAAGTAACATACTGTTAGTGCATCCGGTTGTATCCTGGTGGGCAGCTTGGCCTCCTGGAAGAGCATATAACTGCTGCAGCTTTATTTCAGGAAAAAGGAAAGCTTCAGTGCAATAGCAAACCAACCGAAACATCTTGGTGACATTGTGATGCATCAGTCTTTTATTAATAAAACTTACTAAAGTACAGATGAATGGTGAGCTTTTTTAGAGCACTGTCTATGTCGATTTGTCCCCTGTGTAACTGTGGCTCTTCCCACCCTTTTCTACCATGGGAGAATCTAGCTGAGCTTTTGAATTAGAGTAGAAACAAGGTAATCTTGGAGCGCTTCAGGTCAGTGAGGGAGTCTCCTTGTTTGCTTTAATAGATGACTTATTCCTAGTGCAAGGCAAACTTCCCCCCCCCCCCCTTGTGTTTCCAAACACTAAACTGAGGAATAAGCTGTGAATTAGTTTTTGACCAACTTTTAACTTAAAGCAACACCATCCCATCTTGCCTTCCTGCAGCAGCTTATTTGATTTTTGTGTAGCGCTTAAGATCAAAACCATCCCCTCAGCGCTATTTGCATAGTGCTTAAGCATTACAGCAAGATGAAACTTGCTTAGAAGTTACATAGCTGATGCATCTTCGCTAGGACTCCAACTTGTGACATTGACTTGCCCTCGCAAATCCTTTTTACAATATTTAATAATCTGGAATTTGCTGCAACTTTTAGAGCTATTTTAAAGACACTCCCCAATCATTTTTGGGGATGGTTTGACCTCTAAATGCAAGTTCTTGTCAAAGACGACATGTTCAAAAGCAAATGACATGCTGACACTTACAATGCCCGCTAAGTTGTGGAGACAACAGAGCACAGCTTTGCAGCTCTTTCCTGCAGACTTTACCCAGCTTTCTCGTTAGGATTGTTGTGTGAAGTGAGTAGCCCACTCCGATCCCAGAGATGACACAAGCCCATGGCTGAGTTTCGGTTCTAAAAGCGTGACTGGGGACTCGAACGCTGTGTGACGGCTCTGCCGCCACTCATCCACACATACAACCACAACTGATGACCGGTAAGAGCTGCCACATCTGCCTGAAAGTGCCTTGGGGGACTCCTCTTCAAGATTATGGTGGAAAAGAAACACAACAGAACCAGGTTAAAAAAACCCAACCAAACACAAACCCCCAAACATTTATTACAATAAGCCTGTACACGTTTAAATTGCTGTATGGCTCCCATCCTCATCTAAACATGGCAGGTGAAAAGTGCCGCAATCCGTCCCACTGTCACTGCAATGAAGCGATTACTCTTGCTTTGAAGCAATGCTGCCGGGCCTCCCATCACCTGCAGTAGTTATTAACTAATTACTTAAGATTTGTGGGACTTTGTTTAGAGGTGGTAGTAGGTCAAAACTAATGAGTTTATAAATGCGTCCCGGCTGTTTATAAATAGGTGGCAGCTGCCTTAAGGAAAAGAACTGAACACAGCTCAGCAGGGATCTGCGCCACTGCTGGACTGTGTGTAATCTGGCTGCCTCTCTCAGGGCTGCAGCTACACCAGAAACTGATTCTAACAGTAGATTCTACGAAAAACAGCAACTGCTTCTCTGCAGCCCGGGGTTTACAGCACCTAGGCCCTAGGCAGGTATTCCCTTGTCCAGAAATGGTAATAACTTGTTCTGCTCTTCTAGGAGTCACTCACATTACTGAATTTTGCCAGCTGTGATAAAATATGTACGGACCTTAAGGGAGCTGCGCCTTGTGAGGATACATCCAGCCTCAGGTGATAGTCTGATGGGACGCGTACCAGATGGGAGGAGGTCATATACCAGAATGGAAATAGGAGGCAGATTACGGCAGGATGGTCACGTTACCACATAGCTTTTGTTATTGCCTATTTAAAACTACCAATTCCTGATCTGAGTAGTTTGAAAATAGTGAATCGGAGGAGCAGGATGGTGAGGTTCATCTAAAACAACGATCCTCATAGGTGGCTTCCAATATCTTCTTTGCACGGTATCTAATACAAACACTAAATGAGGAAATACAGCTATGACCTTTGCCTTCTGTATTCCAAGAATTTGATAAAGCTTGTATACAACTAAACCGCACAAGTTTCTAGATACTACGTACCTTAATTGTAGGAGAAATTCAGGCTTCTCCCTGCTACCTTTAAACTCTTGGGAGTAAATCAGGTGACTGGGAGGGAGCATTAGCACTACAATGCAGCAGGCAGAGTTCAAGCCGCTGGAGGACTGTGCATAAACTGAGGTCAGCGGTGCTGCAGTTCTTGTGCTCGCTACCTCGCTGCCTTAAAACACATCGCACCCGCCACCGTGCACACAAGCGCCTCTTTCCTGACTGCACAAGATATCCATCTTTAAATATAGTTCAGGCTGTCTCTTACAGTTTGTTGCCAGATGTGAAAATACCATAGGAGTAAAGCTCTAGGAAAGAAAGTATCCTATTACTGATTTTTTAGCCACTAACTTGGCTAAAGTGTTTCCTCCTTCTCTCAACTCCATCTCCACACGTTAAAAAAGAGTCACAAATAACATGAAATTGTTATTGCCCCCTTTGCACAGACAGATGGAAGGGAATGGAGCTGGAGCTGCCACTGCCCACCCAAAGTGCAACATTTCGCTGCAGGACTCTATGCTCCCCTCGAATCCAGCACTCGGAGTCACACCTTTAGGACACACTGCTTAGCCAGTGGATGGCAGCCGTCGTACTCCTCCAGGTGAGGGTTATCCAGATCGCCTCTGTCGCTGTGCTCAGCGGAGTCCGGCTGGCCCCATGGGGGACCGGTAGTCCTGACGCACACGCAGTGACTCCCCCTCGAACCAGGTCGGTACAGCTTCCGAGGGACTCCAGTCCAGTCTCTGTTCACTCCCCCACTAAGAATGGAAAATTAAAATAAATTACAATTCAAACCCGTGAAAACGCTTCCAACGAATTGAGAATCATTAGATAAAAAACAAGACGATCTGGGAGAGTTAGAACTAACAATACACTCACTGAGGTAGACTTTGCTCCCAACAGCCAACATCCCACAGCTCTCTGATACCTTTTTACTGGCTGAGCTTCAGAAACCTGTGGCCTGAACCTGGCCACAGTTCTGGCCAGTGAATCAGTGCCTGAATCAGCGCCGCTACATGCTCTCGCCCTTCTGGGAGCAACCAACTTCTGCTTCCCACGTTTCTATTGCTGGAAAAGGAATCATAGCCTTATGTAGCACAGCGTGTCTAATGGCAAAATGCCTTTTTTGGGGGTAGCTAAGTGCTCACAGATAACCACATGCCTTCTTCCGTGCCGTGACTGAACACAGTGATTTTGAGAACTAGGGCAAAAGAAAGAAAAAAAAAAAAAGTCTCAAGTACTTCCGCAGCTACTTCATAGTGTCTCTTTATGGGCCAAATCCTGCCTGTTCCCCTAACTACTGCATCTTTTAAGCCTGTAAACTCTTACACAAGTGACTGCCATACAACACCCAGTCCCAAGGCTGCACCCAAGCTCATTCACACATAGAGCGGATCTCCCAAGGTACGCAGTGCTACTGGCCTAGAGAAACAAAGCCTAAGCATTTTGCAATGTGGTCTGCGAAATGATTTCATCTTCAAACAAAACAGTCCCTAAACTGAGCGAGGAATATAACTAAACAGGCCAAGTAGGAAATGACTATTCAAAGCTCAACCTCCTTTTTATGTGGTTAAGTAAACACTGTTGTGGCAGTAGCCCGTGAGACAGGCTGTGAAACTGTCTGAGAACCACCAGCTAATCCTTGCATTCCTGATAGGTGAGAAAATGTGTTTGAATGCAGCAGATGGTCCTAGTGGGATTTCTGTCCTGTTTTCCCGAGAACAGGAGGATCATGTGCACATGTGGCAAATTCTGAAACCTGATTTTGACTGCAGTGTGACAGAAGAGTTTTTGCCTCAGAAATAAAATTCCTAAAAGTATCAGCAATCAGGATGAAACTTCATTTCCCTTTTACCTGCTCACCAGGTCAGTGAGCAGAGCTCCCCTCTGCTGCCTCATGCTGGAGAACATTTTTGCTAGCCCAACCTACACCTCTGTGCAACTCCAGACTGGGTGGAGGCTATCAGCGGTTCCTGTACTGGCAGAGAAAAATCTAGCGACTCCGATTCACACCGCAGCAGCAGGGGCTCAACCTGGCACAGGGCGAACGGCACCGCTGCTCCTTGCAGGTTGGCTCTGCCTCCGTCAGAAAGCACAGCCTGAGGAATGCAGACAGGGGAAGGGACCATGCCCGGCGTATTCCAGCCATGCCAGGACCAACATGAGGTCCAACCTATGCCCTTCTGCGGAGAAGTCGGCAGACCTCACCTACAGACTATGGAATGTGGTGGCTGCAGGAGCCGGGACATCTTCCTGTGCCACTCCTGCTAGAAGAGACAATGACAAAGCTCAGGGCATCCAAAAAAAGGGCAGAAATGCTCTGCTCCAAAGGGTCCGAGCAGGATGGCAGGAAGGCAGAGTTTACCTCTGTCTGGAGCACCAGAATCGGCTGCCCTTAGCAGAGCTCCATTCAGAGTTGCAGGGTGGAAACTGCTGCTTCCTCTGCTCGCTTTCTGCTTGGAACTTCAGAGCTTCCTCAATCGCAGCCTCAGCCTGCCTTAAGGCTTCTGTCGGTGCCCCATTTTCGTCATAGAATCTGCCCACCAGCTTCCCTGGGATAGAAGATCAATTAAGACCACGGTGTTGCCAGGCAAGGAAAATGAATAGTTCTGTTTTTTTTTTTTAAAGTTGTTATTTAAAGACAAAAAAAGGAGGATCTCGCCATGGCCCAATTTTAAAACCGAACTGAGCTTACATCCCTTCCATTCTTGGTTCACACAGCAATTTACCCGTATTAATAAATCCACGCAGGACAAGCCTAGGCACAGACTCGTTAAAGATCAGAAAGTCAACGCCACTTTCAGCTGCAGAACCCAGAAGCCTTTCCCACCCGTGCACCTCGCTCCCCAAAACAGCCTCCCTGCATTGCCGCTCCAACAGTCTCCCGAGTCCTGCTCATTTCAGTGCTCGCAGCGCTGGCTCCACGCCTTTTGCTCAGCAGAGACAAATAAAAGCAGGGCAGAGAGCTGCAGCTGACAGCCCGGGGCAGGAAAACCGTTAAGCTTGGCCTTAGAGGAAAGCGGGCCTCAGACTAGGTCTGATTTCGCAGCGGCTCCAGCTGATGGCTCACGGCTGTCAGCACGCCGGTCTCCCGCCGCACAGGTGAAAGACCCTCACCGAGGCGGACACGTCGTAGACGAAACCTGGCCCTACGCAGCGCTGCGTCCCCCGACCCGCCATCGCCGCGCCGCAGGCCCACCCTCGCCCACCCGCCCTCCTCCCC